GTGGGTCTCTCTCTCTCTCTCTCTCTCTCTCCCTTTTTTTGCTCGTTTCCCATCTTCTCTCATTCCGCTTTCACTAACTATATTTATCTCTCGCGTACAGCCTCCCCCAACCCCATATTAACCCATTTCCTTCGAAAGCCTCTCACTTTCACATTAAACGATCAAGACATTCGTTTAGACCCGTTTCCAATGCCTAAAAAGTAACATCAGTTTTAAACTAGCAGGCCTTTGTGAAGAAAGGCGAGTGAGAAAAGGGACATTATTCTGGGAACGTTTTACTTCAAATTTGAAACTTTTTGTGAGGGTTACAGAAACCTAACAATATTCCATGGAGAAGGCAAAGAGGACGAGGGATACGTTATTGGCGTAGCTCTGAGCTTAGCTTGTAAGAGGAAATAGGAAAACGAAGGGGGAGAAAAAGGGGCGTATTTCTAATGGATGACGACAATAGGAGCTATTTGAAGAGAAAACTGAAGATATCGGAAGGTTTCTCTCAGGATTCCTGTAAACTCGGCAAGCTGGAGAGAGCACTGGTCAGAGAGAGAGAGAAAGCGGGGGAAGGGAGTAAAGGAAGAAAGAAAGAACGAAAGAACGAAAGAAAGAAAGAAAGAAAGAAAGAAAGGAAAAAAGAAAGAAAGAAAGTAAGATAGAGATACACACACAGAGAGACAGATAGACAGAGACAGAGTAAGAGAGAGATAGTGTGTATGTGTGAGAGAGAGAGGGGGGGGTGTATGATGTATGAAAGAAAGTGAGAGGAAAAAAAAGACAATGCCGAGAGAGTGTGAGAGAGAAAGAGATGGAGAGAGAGAGAGAGAGAGAGAGAGAGAGAGAGAGAGAGAGAGAAAGACAGAGAGAAAATAGGGAGAGAAAGAGAGAGATAGAGAGAAAGGGAGGGGGAAAGTGAGTTCAAGTATCCCCTTACCAATATCACTAGCCTCATTATTTCTTAAATCATAGCCTATGCAATAATTCAAGATGCTATTACTCTCTGTTATTTCCCTGTCTTTCTCTTCCTTTTCTAACATATGGTCCTTATGAGGAATCAAACAACAGCTTTTGCCTCCTCTATTTTTCTTTCTCATACCCTCCTCATTCTATTTCTCCACCTTTTCCTCTTTATCTGCAATCCTATCCTTACTACCTCTCTTGTCCCTCCCTTCCCTTTATTCCTCTCCTCCAATTTTTTTCCCTCCTAACCCCCACCTCCCCACCCTCACCCTACTCCGTCTGGTCTTCCTCCTCCTTCTTCTCCCCCCCCCCCCTCTCTCTTCCCCCCCCCCCCCCCCCCCCGTTCTTTTATTCAACTCTCCCGTCATCTGGCTTCTCACTTTCCTCCTCTTCTTCCTCTTTCTTCCACCCCTTTCTCTTTCTCCTCTCGTCATTCTCTTCCAAATACGCACTATTATTTCCAAAAGCACTACCGTACCGTAGACCGTTGTTACTCACCCCTCTTGCCCTTCTTTTTTTCAACTCTGTCTTTACCCGGATTCTACTTCTCCCCCCCAAAAAAAAAACCTGCAACCGAACAGCAGCAAACAACCCAACAACCCCACAATAACAAAACAACAAAAGACAAAACCAAAAAAACAACCTCACCAAATACAAAAACAAACAAACTAACAAAATTAAAAACAACAACAACAACAACAACAACAAAACAACCAACCAACAAAAAAAACAAAATTTTTTCCTTCTAAATCTTCATGTTTTTAATTTGCTGGGTTTTTATTGTTTTTTGTTTTCGGATGGGGTAGTGGAGGTGACTTTATTCTTCTTTCTTTTAACAGGGAATAAAGACAAATAAATGGATCTGTCTTTAATTTGCATCAATGCTCTTGCTATTGTCTTTATCGGAGACCTTGTTGTTAAGAGCGTTTACGTGTCTGGGTACGTTTTGTAATGTTCACGAAATATATCAGTATTCTTATGATTATTTTTTACGTAGAGGTGTCTTTTAAAACAATTTTACTCCTCTGTCGATACAATTTAGATCATTTAGGAGGCGGGCTTCCAACCAAACCACAAGATAAGGTCGCCTCGATCCTAGTGGAAAGTAAAGACTAGCGTACTCAATTTAAAAATGTTCTCCCACTCTTTGGATACGAACTCGGTCCTCCTTTTCACGACAGGAACGTGCCTAACCGATACACAACAGAAGTCGGTTGCTGTTACGCTTCTGCTGTGCTGTCTTCTACATGAAAAACAGGTGTCTCCTTTTATTAGAATTTTTGTTTCACCTTCAATTATATTGAAGCCTTAATCTGTGTTTGTTGCAGTGGACCGCTGTAGAATTCTTTCTTTTTCTTTCTTTTCTTTCTTTTTTTTTTTTTTTTTTTTTGGGGGGGGGGTGAAATTCGTCCATTGAACGACATGTTAGATATGAACATCCTTACTAACATGCACATTAGTATTAG